ATATATATATATATATATATATATATATATATATATATAAAGTTAAGTGCTTAATTAATCTTCTCTACCTAAGGATAAAATATTAAATCGCGTGTTGAAACGTAGCCTGCGGAATTATTAATGTCCGCGCGTTTTCGCGTTATTATTCGCGTCGCTGCACCGTCGCGATTAATGCGCTAAAATGCATTGTCGGCGAATAAGGAGAGTCGCGCGCGCCGACTTCGCAGCGGACATTTATTTTGTAGCGCATCTACATTTCTTATGACTTCATACTTAATTCAGGTCTTCGTAGACTTCCGGGAAGTATTACGAGAGAAAGAGAAAGAGAGAAAGATGCTCGCGCTCCGGATACGTATGCCAAGTACGAAAGTGCGTGCAGCTACCGAGGGCAAAGGGGGATATAAATGCAATGTTTGCGCCGTGCGCGAATATTACGCCGCGATCAAGAGCGTGCTCGTCTCGCCGCGAGAGAGTACTGCTTTTCGTTTCGAGAGAGAGAGAGAGAGAGAGAGAGAGAGAGAGACCTACTCTCTTCGACACTGCGCGGTAATATGAAAACCGCTTGTTTACCGCGAACGGCGACGCGCCACCGAGAAGAAGGTTGAAGGAGGGATTAATTTAGGTTTAATTTTAATCAAGCGCCCGCGACCTCAATTTGTTTCTCTTTGAAAGACGAGATTTTTACACATACACGGATACGCACGCACACACACACATACACATAGTCAAATACACACAGACACACGTATGCACACATGGGACACCGCAGCGAGAGCTGCGAAACTTTCGTGGTGCCCCTTCCCCCTACCTCGGGACACCAGGGCTCTGTCAATGTTGCGAGTTACGTTTACCCGTGGGAAATCTGCTCACGGATGCGACGCGATCCAATACATTTTCTTTACACACTTTACTCTCTCGTAATTACGAAATAAGCAAACACATCCCGGATTATGGAGAGACTCTCCCGTCCGCGCGTCTCTCACTTCCGGTGTTGCGTCGCCGATGCAATTTCACGTGCCGCATATTCTCCCGCGGCGATCATTCGATCATTCTTAATTGTACCATGAGCGACACGACTTTTAATTTTAAGAGATAAGATTTACCTTCGAGATAAGTAATTTTAAAGATGATCCATAGTTGTCATGTAAAATTACGAATATCGGAGAATAATATATATACGTATATATTTCTTGGAAGTGATAAAAACTTATATTAATAATGTAATGTAATAAAATATTATTATATTATATTATATTAATTTGTTAAAAATATTTTGAGAATTTTAATACAATTTCTAACATTTCTTCGGAAAATTATGATTTATTTATTTATTTATTAATAGATAATCTATTCTTCTAATAGCAAGAGATAAAATTATAAGAGATTCTTAATATTAATTCTTAATTAATATTTTAATGTTTTGAATATCTTATTAAATCCATAATTTGTTGTGGACACAAAAATAAGTGTCGGGGTTGCGCGTCGTAGATTCTTATATAATCTCTAATCACAAATTTCAGGAATCGAGCCAAAAACCAAGCCAACTCAGGAGATCATCGAAATTATTCAGGATAGCGAGCGTTTGGGCCTTATCCTGCGCCTTAGACCTGGGCTTGCTCGGCGAATCTTCCCTCAAGGAGGTCGTCATTGCGAGTTACTCGGAGTTGAACTCTCTGTCCACCAACGAGGACGCGACGAAATCTCCTGATCTCGAAGCGAACGATTGCAAGGGTGATGCGTCCAAGTCCGCGAGTATCTTCGGTAATTCGTGGCCGTTCATCGATCCGGCGCAAATTAAGCAGATCGCTTGTACAAAGCCCGTCCGAAAGCGAAGGAAGAAAACGAGATGGTCGGTGAAACGGCAAAGGAAACCAAAGGACGCGTGTCCAAGAATCGGCAGCGCAAGGACGACGAGTCTCTCGACTATGACAGACACCTCGTCCTCGCTGCGAGGATCCAAGCGAGAAAATCTCGGCGTATCACATGATCGATCGGCGAGATTATCAGTGAGGAAGAACCTTTCGTCAACGCGATCTCGCGTTTTCGTCGCCGAAGAGGACGGGCGTTTGTCCGAAAGTTACAGATCGAGCGAGAACGACGACGAAGAGGAAGAAGTAATTAGTCAGACGACATCGGAAAGGAGTTCGGAGGAGATTGCTCCGGTTGATTATTCCGGCTCCGAATTCTACTCGACGAGTCACACGAAGGAAGAAGAGCCGCAAAATCGGACGGAGTCGCCGGAATATCCTGATTACTTCGCGAACGTCCTGCGGATCGATGACAACAGCGAGAACAATGATCTCGACACCTCGGAGGATGATACTGCCAGGGATGACGCGCAAACCGCCAAGTTTGCGAAATTTGCGGAACGACGGACGTCGCGCAAGATCCTCGAAAATCAAAACTCTCCGCATAGAACCCGAAAAGCGTCATCGAGAAAGAAAAAACTCGAGTCAAAAAACAGCGAGACTTGCATCGAGATGCCGAAAAGACGAAGAAACAGGTCGGTTGAACAGGGGGAAAAGACTCATAATAACTCCACGGCATATAATCACTACGACCGTCGGCGACGTTCTCAAGATTTGGAGGAAAATTCTCCGAAAAGCAAATCGGATTCGAGAGATGCTGTTGCAGCTGGCAATGCTGGCATGCGTGATGTCGCGGAGGAAATTACGGTACAGAAACGTAAAGCACGGCGGCGTTCTCACAATTTTACAAATGCCGCCTCGTGCGAAAGGAAATCGCAGAAAGACACAGCCGATGCACTTATGCGGGATATTAAAGAAGAAATAAACATGAAAATTGAGAAGAATGTTGAAAGTATTGGAAAAACGATTTCCGAAATCGAGGAAGACATACTCCTGGATTGGAGTTACAAGGATTCGAGTTACAAGGATCTCAGTCAGGAATACGATTGGGTGGACAATGACGAGTCTAACGATCGGGATTTATCATCCCAGGCCTTGGAACGTTCATTCGATTCGACAAATGCCGAAGAGTTCGTTAATACCGTTGGCAGACGTCGTAGAAGAAAGAGATACAGATATTCGATCGATTGCAAATTCGACGAGAGCACGGAGACGGCTTACCGGAGTGTTTTCCACGATTGCATCGATTTCGATACTCCGCGATCGACCCCGTCCTTGAAAATAAACATGGAGGAGAGCTGGAAATCGGCGGTGGAGGACAGCAGCGACAACGACGACGAGATCCACTCGTCCTGGCGCCGATCGACTTTAGAATCCTCAATTGAAGAATGCGGTAACGAAGTTGATGGCGCGCTGCTATTGGCTCGGAAGATCGTTAGCGACGATTCGACAAAAGACGAAAAATGTGATGACGAGCACGAGACGTTGAACAACGCGTGTTACAAGTATCACGAAATGTCAGATACTTTCACAGCGGCCAAAAACAGTTCTCTTCACGATTCGGACGAGGATATAGAATTCCCAAATCAATCTGACGATATAATCACGTATAGAAATAAAAATAGAACAATTAGGAGATCGGCATCGATGGACTACAGCATTAAGGATGAAGACGATAATGTCAAGGTGAGCGGATTTTTACTTACATATTCATTAACAGAGCTGCTTGTGAGATTGACATGTCAAATATAAGAAGGATAGAGAGAGAGAGAGAGAGAGAGAGAGAGAGTGAGCATATAAAAAAAGGACTTTTATGTATAACAATATAGTTTTGAAATAATTTATTTGCCGAAGTAATCTTTGGAAATTTTCGAAAGACTCGATTAATTTTGTGAGTCGTCGTCTATCTAATTTAGAAAAAGTAAATACAATCAATGTGTGTTAAAAAAAATTATACAAAAGCATCCATAAATTATACAAAAGCATAAAATCCATAATTAATATATGTAAACGTAATAATACACGATATATGTTTGAATGTAATGTTAATAGGTCCAAGGTAGAGGTCCCAAACACCCAAAACTTAGTAGCAAAATAAATGTAATGCGACAAATCCCGCGTGACAAGGGTAACAATTTGGATGATAGTGATAAAAAGGAAAGTGGTCCGCGCAGAGTGACCAGGGCTCTGGTAAAGACCAAAAACCAAAGTAAAGTAAATCATGTCGGGAAGCTAGTGTGGGGATTCTTTTCAGGATGGTGGCCAGGTAAATATATTAAAGATATATATTACGGATTTTACTGCGTGAAGTTGGGAATTAACGTTGTGATTGATGTTTCTGGTTAATTAAATATATCGTTTTCGTTGTACGCGCAATTTACCTCTTAGATATTAAATAACTCATCTAAATGTGTTTTTTTTTTTAATTGAAAACGTGATATTGCAGCACTGATCGTTGACGCCAAACATGTAGGAATGGCTCCTGTGCCCGGCAAGTTGTGGGTCTTCTGGATCGGAGAATCGCAAATATCGTCGGTAAGTTAGTAGGGTGCTCCGAGCGATAGAAAGCTTTTTCATCAAAAAAACAATGAGACGTAATTGACGTGATTTCAGCTCAGAGAAGAAACACAGATACAACCGTTCTCGAGATGTTTGGAGGTGCGATTGTCACAATCACAGATAGACAAACCGTCGCGTAAAAATGTTCGTGTGCACGCCATTGACACGACTATAAAGGTTGTTTGATATCTCTACGAGAATAAAATAAAAGACAATAAGAATTACATAAGGAATTACTTCCAAAAATGCGATGTGCCGTTACGATTATTTTAGATGCTTCACCAACGTTACAACGGCAATCTGACAAAGCCTTATTATTTTTGGATACAACGGAACATAGATATGGAGACATGTAAGTCATAAAAACCTACGAATTATCTTTCGTAACCGTTGCAAATAAATGCAAAAATTATTTGGTATGGCAGTGGACGACCTATCATTTTATCCATATCCGGAAGACATACAAGCAAAGTTGGATGAATTGAGGGAAAGGAACGAAAAAGCTACTAAAAAATATATATTGAGTCAGAGAAGTACCTATGTCTTTTTTATGTTTGTAATATTCGCGTACTGCTTGAAATGTTAAATTAATACCCTCTACAGGTTCACCGGAAGTACCACCGACGAAAAAGCAGAATGTGGAAAAAAATAAAGATACAACTATAAGTTGGGAACAGATCGACGATGAGCGTTTAGGTCTGCAAGACCAACAGCCTGGTGTAATAGCTTGGGCAAAAATCCCTGGACACTGTTGGTGGCCCGGTATAAGCGCATTTGTTCTTTTGCCTTTTTTTTTAACTAACCTTTGCTTAATCCGTCCTCATAAGTATGAAGAATTTTTTACATTTTTTTCAGCGATGATTATTGATTATCGCGACTGTTGCTTGAAAGAACCGAGTTTTGGATGTCAATGGATTATGTGGTATGGAGATTATCAAGTTTCAGAGGTGATTATATTTAATATCGACACTCAAATTAAAAAGAAAACATTTGCATATGTTGCTTTTTCCGTTTTATATTCTGTTTTATATAGCAAAATTATCATTATGTATTTTTATATTTACTAGGTACGTCATATCGCATTTTTGAAATTTCACAAAGGAATAGAAAAAATGCGCGAGTACATTCAAAATACGAGCAAAAGACAGCCGTATCTTGAAGGCGTACTTCAAGCTTCTAAGGTAAAATATTTAAGGAATTATTTATCTAATCAATAATATATTTATATAATATTTTTATACAATATCTAATATTATATTTTTATATAATATTTTTATACAATATCTAATATTATATTTTTATATAATCGTTAATAGTATATTAATAATATTATAAATTTATTTGATTGTACGACATGTTGTGTTACACGTATGATGAATATTTTCTTGCAAAAATTTCCAAAAACCTTCACGACTTTACGAATCTGACTTTTTAGGATTATTGCTCACGTTTAGGATGCAACACGGATAACTGGACTTTAGATAATGTCTTTGAATATTTTTCAAATAATATTCACATACCAAATAACCAATTGCAAGTTTCAGACTCTAACAAGGTATATGATAAGTATTCCGACATGATGATAAAAAAAATTAACGAATTTAAGTTCAAGTCAGATGTAGATGCTGAACGGAAGCGTGATATAAAAGCGAGCGGTAAGTTAGATTGTACAAATTGTGCGTATAAATAATAAATTGAAGCTCTTTAATTTTTTTATATATATGATTTTTTTCATCAACTGCAGATGATTTTCGCCGCGCAATGTCAGGAGAATGCGACATAGAAAAATTATGTTTAAAATGTTTGACGATTCCTAAAGGTAAAAAGGAGGAACATCCGTTCTTTACAGGATCCTTATGTAAAGAATGCTCGGTATGTGATAAAAGACACGTTCTTTCATAAATTTTTAACAAAGTAATCGTAGAAAGATGATGATTACGCGATCAAACCTATTTTCTAAGCACAACGAGAAGCGTTATATCATCTGCTTTTTCTTTTTTCAGAACGAATTTAAACCGTGTATGTTCGTACACGGGAACGATGGCAAGTGCGTAAGTATTCGGCAGCTCCGGCGATATTTAAAGATTGAAATATTAATTGTTGCTTTGTTTCACGTTTGATTTCAGTTTTATTGCACAGTTTGCGCCAGTACCGGTACGGTTCTTATTTGTGATTCAGAAGAATGTCCACGGTTAGTTCACTCGCGCTTGAAATAGATCTCTGTCGCGTTGGAGTATATTTATTTAACGCGTTATCCATTTCAGTGTCTACTGTACAGCATGTCTGAAAATGTTGATATGTCCAAAATCATACGACGAAATGCTGAATGAAGATCCATGGGAATGTTTTCTCTGCAGAGACGAAACCAAACAGCCCGAGGATATGATATTTCGTAGGCGGTTAAATTGGAAAGAGAAATTTGCAAAAATGTTCCGCACAACTCCTAATCTGACGTCTGATGTAGATGTTGAAAGTTATAAGAAGGAAAATAGGGCCGTGCGCGTGCTGTCGCTTTTTGACGGTTTGAGCACTGGTAAGACAGAAATTTGCATTTGATTTATAATCATTTCTTTTTTGAAAGCTTGCGTTAAGTTGGCGCAAGTTACGCTCAAAAGATACATTTAAATATTATTTTTTGTATTCAATTTTTTTTTAATGGTACTTTTATATTTTATTCATATTTTTATATTTTTATATATTCAAAAGATAGTTTTAAATGTTATTTTTTATATTAAACACATAGGTTTTTTGGTGCTTCAAAAATTGGGGCTCGTTGTGGACGTTTATTACGCTAGTGAAATTGATGTAAATGCATTAACGATTAGCTCCTCACACTTCGGCGACCGTATTACTTATCTAGGAGATGTAAGAGGCATAACGAAGGAAAAAATTCAAGAAATCGCACCGATTGACTTGCTAATCGGTGGGTCGCCATGCAATGACTTAAGTCTGGTCAATCCGGCGCGATTAGGTCTCCACGGTACTTATCGACAATCAATATGTATCTCTCAAAAAAATTTTTTTGTAAGCAATAATGATGTTTATCTACCTTGTGATCGTAGATCCGAAGGGGACAGGCATTCTCTTTTTCGAGTACATCCGAATAAGAAAACTGATGGAAAAAGCCAACAAAGGTCGACACATGTTTTGGTTGTTCGAAAATGTCGCATCCATGCCAACCGAGTACAGATTAGAAATTAACAAGTAAATTGAAATGTTTTTTAACTTTAATCCAATGGCAAAGGGTAATATTACAATCACGAAATTAACTTGTGTTAATTGCAGATATCTGGGACGGGAACCTGACGTTATAGATTCAGCGGATTTTTCGCCTCAGCACAGACTGAGACTTTATTGGCATAATCTTCCCTTTAATCCATATTTGCCGCTGTTTGAAAACAGTCAGGATGTTCAAGACAAGCTTACGCCAAACTTGAATCGGAAGGCTCTTTGCAAGAAACTTCATACAGTTACGGGCAGAACGGGCTCCCTACTGCAAGGTATCTTTACGTCTTTACCTCCTACAAATGTTTTTCGAAGGCGATTTGTACTCAACTCTTGTTTCTATTCTAGGAAAAGCGGAATTGAAACCAATTATAATGAGAGGCAGATCTGACACGATATGGATCACTGAACTCGAGGAAATCTTTGGCTTTCCACGACATTATACGGACGTGAAGAATTTATCAGCCACAAATCGACAGAAATTGCTCGGCAAATCTTGGAGCGTACAAACACTTACTGCCATATTGCGACCCTTATGCTTATATTTTAAGTGCAATGAAAATGAAACGAGCAAGAAGTCTGTTTCTTAAGAAGATATCTCTATCTCGCTATCGCGATAAATATTTTTAACGAAATTTTGATCCCAATGGAATAATTAAGTACAGTAATGTGAACGTTTTTTTTATCTTGTACTATTTTTGGATCTCGTTTGTATGATCGCAATTTTATATATATATCTAAAATTTGTATTTCTAGACATTGTACGAGATGTTACATGTACATCTGTATATTACATGTAACAATCTCGTTAAATGTATATACATATTGTACGAGATGTTCCTTGTCAATATGATGAGTTTTATATCATAATAATCTCTTTATACATACAATTGAATTAAAATTGTACATCGTCCAACATTGATTTTTTTGTGTTATAAGTTGCCAAAAAATATATACAGCATAATTTGTAATTACATGTCAATTAATTATATATTTATTAATATTGTCATTCTTAATTATATCAATATTCTAAGTGTTCAAAATAAGAAAAAAATGGTATCAGAAGGGAATATAGATCTTTATTAATTATGAAATCTTTTCTTCTTTTGAGCGCTATATTCACTTCGCCTGAGATATGGGCATACAATAATCGGTTTAATAATCATTCTGTATTTATGTATTACATTATTTCATTTCGAAATGCGTTTTGAAAAATCTGCGTCTAAAATATGAATTTATCTCTCTCTCTTTAAGATAGTTATCTAACAATCTTGAAAAGATAAATTCACATGAATATTATGTACATATAGTATATATATATATAGTTGCTTTCCTTCAAACTTGATTTGAAACAAAATAATATAATTATGTAACAAAATATTATGTCTGTAAGTATAATACATTTGTGAAAAGCTCTTGTTCCATTTAACAGGAAATTGACAAGCATTTGTAAATTATCCCAAGATCTGTGTTATTTATGTACATTCACATGACTTATTGTGATTTACTCGGTTTATTTTGATATCTCATTCGGAAGTATCCTCTGCGAGGTTCGCGACTCGTCGGTAATGCTGCGTTTCCACCAACATAAGGAGCGCCCTGATGCAATTGCAACAATGCCGGAGGAACTGGAATACAGCCCGCCAAGCAGTTAACGTGCTGCATCATCGATAGCGGCAATGGAGTGTTTATGAATACTTCCTGTCGTTCCATATCGACACCTCGAATTATTCCTACGCAATACATGGGTTCATAATATTCCTTTAAAGAAGACTCTATTGTATATTCTCTCTATATATTTATTTAAAAAATTTCCTGAAGTATCTGTTAGAAAAGAAGTTCACGCAAAATTATTAGTACTTACCGAACCCGTAGCATGTACATAAAGGAGATCTTTGGGTCAGTACTCGAAGACTGGAAATGCCTTCGGACTCTTGCGCAGATTCCTCCGTTAAATCGATACCGCATAGCGCTACAATATTACCATTTATGACACTTAAAGCACGTGACGCAGGTACCCCGAATAATCGTTGTGGTATAATGCGTAAGGAAGAAAAGGGCGCCCTGTAAATACACAAGATATTCATGTGTCTATCGTTACTTACATTCGCATGTCAATAAGATACAAGATACTAACGTATATGGCACTGCTTCATTAATACTGAGTGATGGTCCTGTGTTGTATTGGCTGAAATAATAAGTGTGGAAATTAAAATTACGAGGATTATATAAAGCTCGTAAAACAATGTAAGATACTAGGCTACAATACTAAACTTACAGGGAATCGTTTTCATCACGCACGATACCGCTGAGGTAAGACATCATCACAAGCTCGCGTTGTTGATACGGCTGCATGTTCCACTCGTTCGTCCGCGCTGCGACGGTCTCCGCCTGGGAGTAGATTATGCATAAATCGTGCTCGCACGGCCTATTCCAATTGATGAATCTCTCGTCGCAGAATGTCCATGTGCATTCCTGTTAAACGTTCCTTCTCCAGGATTTGATGGTTCAACAATAAATGTATTTATTATCGAAGAAGTCGCGTGTTACCTGTTTATTTACAACTTCCGCACTAAGAACGTCGTTGTAATTGTTCTTCTTTTTCGACGACATAATCTGCAGGATGATGGACGGCCTGATCAGTTTTATCGTGAAGATCGCGATGTCCCAGCCGAGACTTTGCGTGAAACCCATCGTGTTCACCACGATAGGTAAACGAGACAGGACGGGGGACTCCTTCAATCTCTCGATCAACATCTTGATGCCCTCCAAGTAGCGCGTGACGCATCGGCTGACGCTTATGTCGTCGATGAACAGCTGGTAAACCGGCGCCTTCAGATGCGTGAAATTCGGCCCCATCAACGGCTCTTCGATCAAGCTGTACGAGATGCAGCCGGACGGCGTACACTCCGCCTGTCCGGGATCTACGTCCACCAAAACCACCTTCTCCGACGTGCGCAACAGGCTGTTGATCAGACATCGCACGCTGGTGGACTTGCCAACGTTTTTACCGCCGGCGATCAGCGTGCAAGACCATTCGTTCGCGCGCCAGCGACTCAGCATCTTCTCCGCAACGTCCGTGGTGATACAGGGATCGGTGATCAATCGTCTATAGTTAAAATCGTCATTTTGCTCGAGACGCAGATTCGACTGCAGTATTATCTCGGCTCGCTTGGGATCTGTCCACGAAAAATAATGAGGATTCTTTACGTTCGGGAACAATCTGAAGTACGGGAAGTGGGTTTTCAGGAAGAGCGTCAGATTATTCTCGAAATTCTGCAGCACGAGGACGGCCATTCCCGGTCGGACATTATCGACGTTGACCTGCAGCTCGCTTTCCAAATCTCGAGTGATGCCCTCAGCAGCGAGCGTCGTCCACACCTCGTCGACACTACCTTCCGGGAATTCCTCGCTGGTCTCTATGGCGATATTACTGTATCCACGCGGAGAGTACACTTCTGTGGGACCGGTCGAACTGTTTAGTATGGAACCGTAAATTTTCACCGCGCCGTACAATACTTTTACTAACAGCTTGCCGGTGAAGCAGAGTCTATTCCCACTTTCCATTATAACGATGACTATGTTTCTTATGCAGTAAACCTTCGGTGCCTTTCGATTACCCCTACGTCGACGCGAGTTGACTTTATAGTTAGGACTGCCACGTGCTTCTATATCACTACTACGATCTGATGTAGAACTTCCGTCTTTGACGAGTTCTCTGCGCATAGGACTGCTTATATTATTATTAACATTGGTGTCTTCTAATCTGTTATCACTAGCCTCTTTGCTTCCATCATTTTTAGCTGTACTCGATGGCACAGATGACGCCTGTTTTAGATGTTTAATTCGCATATGGGTGTCGTACTTAGAATTTATGGGATCGGCAACTGTCATGCGCGCATCCTTATTGAACAACGCATTTAACTCGAAGGCTTCATTACAAATCGTTTCCCCTAATCTTGTCCTTTGTTCCTGTTCAAATATCTGTGGCAAATTTATCGAGGTGACACTGTCCGAGAGCATGTCGATCACAAGGGGTGAACCTAAAATTCTTTTCTCTTTGGAAGCAATCTGGGTACAATCGTCATCCGTATCCCCTTGCGCCTCATCCTCAGAATTATCCAACTTCCAATTGTCATCTATTTCTCCATTCGCCTGCTGCTCGAGATCGTTCGATTCTATGGAATCATTTGTAAAATCTGAAATTCAAATAACTGCAATCCTGATTGCAAACTTAAAGGTATTAACGAAAGATATATCCTAATTACCTGGGGTGTATGTACATAAAAATGAACTAGTGATGGTATAATGTAAATGGAAAAAGGGTAAACCCTGCGTTTCTTACATTGAATATCAGAAGTTTCGTCAACAGTTTTTTTATTGTCGGAGTGTTCCTTTTTGCGTTTAAAACTGGCCTGTTTGGCTGGTCTCTCTCTAAAAGAACAGGCTGGCTCGCCTGGCAAAGGAATATTCTGCACATCATTGGCACAGGTGTCATCATCTACCAAATTGACAGCGGTATCTTTGCTAGCAAATGTGTTCTTACAAGCGGCACGCATTTTCTTCTCACGAGCTTTCCGCGCTTTTAGTTTTCTAGAATCAAAAACGTAACAAAAAATTAATGAAGCAATATCCAACAGCGATATTTCATGCGATATCACAAATAGTTATTATTGTGACTTCAACCAAACTCCGATTAACTTAATCAGCAATTAACTTGCCAAGTAACACCTGTGTTTTGTTTATGAATAGAAATATTCATTTCTGCATACGGGAGAGAAAAGATTAGATTGACAAATTGCATAATCAGAAATTTTAAAAAGTAGAAATTTGGCACAAGCATTTTGCTTTAAATAATTCTTAATTGTTGATAACTGCTTAAATAATTCAATTAGATAAACGAGAATTAAGTTAATCGGAGTTCCAACGAAATCCAAAAGCCATGTGATCGGTGAATATCCTTATTCGATCTGAAATTATTTCGCTCACGTTTTAATCTTTCGCACTTTCGATTCAGCCGTCTTTCCCTTTGTGCGAACGTTTGTCTTCATTGGTGTAAGAAAATATATCGGTATATAAAAAATATATATATGTCTAATGTTGTGATTACAGATTTTTACATTCCAACCTCAAAATTCGTAAAACGCTCACGCTCACACATTACGCTACGCACATGTATTGCGTTAATTACGTATTGATGTATTCGGTCGAAACTCGAATCTCGAATACTCGAAACCCCTGTACACTACCGCCAGTACATCCAGTTTCGAAATTGGTACTACGTAGCCACGTTCATTTTCCGACACTGCCGATAAAACGTAATATTAATTTTTCAAAATTACAATAAACTTTTAAACAAAAAATAAAGATATTCCAAAGTTTTTTATTTTTGCCTTTATCGCCTGGAGTATTAATTACATAATTTTGGGGCAGCAGAAACAGCTAGAATATTTACGAAACAGTAAAAATTCCTCAAATTGCGCATTAATTAAAAATGGGAAGGAGAAACAAAAAAGATACAAAGAATTCAGCTACAAAGAAGAAACTTAGGATGTTATTAATTAACTTTTTATATATTATAAAAAACTAACTATTTATATTTTATATCTTTGTCAGCGTTTCAACTTCGCGCCTACGTCCGGCGGGGCGCGCGCTGATTCGCCCGATTCCCCAGCGGGCGGCCATTTCTTTTTGCGCGACGCGACGCCCCGACGCTTCGCCCGCACCATGCCACCACCTCCGCCTCCGCCGCCTCCGTTGTCGACGGAACCGTGCCACGGGAGCTGCGTCCGATACGGGTGACCGCCGAGGAAATGGAGCCGTCAGCGACGTACTGCTTCTGCGGCCGTTCGCACGATCCCCAGCAGTTCATGATACAGTGCGACGTGTGCAAGGAGTGGTACCACGGCGGGTAAGCGTGCACGTCCGGGATTACGCGTCGAAGCGCGCGCTCGCGACGCGACGTCGACTATTCCGCGATTTCCCGGGGATCGCCGGATGGAACTCCCGCGGGGAATCGCTCGCGTGGACCGCGAGCGTCCGTGCGCGACCGCGGACGCGACGCTGCCTCGTCGATATCGCGCCACGAACGATTGTTTTGTTGACGGTAACATAACCTGCATCGCGCGTCGCCCCGTCGCCGTCGCGTTTGTCAACGTTTTATTGGCACGCGCGACGCGGTCGGAGCACCGACGGGGCCCGTCGCTCGATTAAAGCGCTCACGTGTGTGCGATTTTTAGATTTTTGGCGTAGCGCGTTGCAATCGACACTTGTGTAATGGTTATGTTATTGTTTTGTTCCAGGTGCGTGAATTTGAAGGAATACATGACTATAGATCTTGACAAGTACCACTGTCCGCGATGCGAAACCACGTGTGGCCCTTCGCTCAGTAAGTCAGCCAACTTATTGAACGTTTTATGCATATATATGGATTTGTGAGATTCGTTGTCATTGATATCTATTTTGTTTTGCAGTGAAAGTTAGGACAAACTTGCATAGACATGACTATACGGAGCTCGATGCGGACACAAAGCCGATTCAGACTGGAACCTCGGTATTTATACGAGAACTGAAATCTAGACACTTTCCCAAGGCAGACGAGGTTGTGAAGCATGTGAAGGGACACCAATTGACTTTTCAGTATTTACAAATTAACGGCTTTGAAACTCCCATTATTATCGATGGGAAAGATGGACTCGATATGACTGTACCACCTCCGAACTTCAGCATCCGCGATGTCGAGACCTACATAGGTAAGATGGTTGGCGTAAAAGTATCTTGGAATAATCAATACTTTATTTTATATAATCTTTTCGCCGTGTAATCTTACACAATTTTCTTACATTATTCTTAGGCGGTGATCGAGACATGGATGTAATTGATGTTACTAGACAAAGTAACATACGTATGAAATTAAGAGACTTTGTAGAGTATTACAACTCTCCTTCCCGAACAAGAGTATTTAATGTCATAAGTCTCGAATTTACTAACACTGGGTATATCAAATATTCATTGCCTTGCCGTACACGGCTTTGTCAAGTTGTTTTTGTAGGATGTGTAATTTGATAAATAAAACAATTGCAGTCTCTCGCCAATGGTTGAAGCGCCATACATTGCGCGCAAACTCGACTGGGTTAATTCGGTGTGGCCACGCGATTGGCCCGAGGACAGTGATATAAAGCGACCGGAAGTACAAAAGTATTGCCTAATGGGGGTCAAAGACAGTTTCACAGATTTTCACGTCGATTTTGGAGGAACGTCCGTGTGGTACCATGTGTTGCGCGGCGAAAAAGTGTTCTATCTTGTCAAGCCGACGCCAGCGAACTTGCAGCTGTACCAGCATTGGATGTGTAGTTCGACGCAGAGCGAAACTTTCTTTGGGGATCAGGCCGATGCGTGTTACAAGTGCGTGATTAAGCAGGGCCAGACGATGATGATCCCCACGGGCTGGATACACGCGGTGCTCACACCGGTGGATTCCTTGGTTTTTGGTGGAAATTTCGTACACAGTCTCAACATTCAAATGCAAATACAGTGAGTAGAGAAAAAGAAAACCTTGTCGTACATTAAGACATTAAAGAAGTCGTTATACGTTTTGTAACATTACTTTATTATGTAGAATATATGAGTTGGAAAGAAAGATGAAGACTCCAGCGAAGTTTCAATATCCTGGATTCGAGACAATTAATTGGTTTGCTGCGAAAAAGTTGTTAAAGGAATTGAAGGAATTGAATAACGAGGGAAAGAAATGTCCGCCATATTTTTTACAGGGCGTGAAGGCATTGCTTGGGATTCTCAAACAATGGAACACAGATAAAGATGTAAGTTAAAATTGTTAATATTTATATCCAATTAACAAATATGAAAACATAAAAATTCGTGGAATAAAAACCAATGCGTATAATTTCAGTATAACATGATCAGTCGTGGTCAGATACCGGACACGATAAATAGCCAGAAATTATTGAAGGATCTTAGCAAAGAGATACGGCATGCGGAACGTTACTTAATATCTCTGAATCCGCCGAAACCGGAACGCGAGAGTAAACGAAAGAAAAGAAAGCCGTTGAACAAGGATTTCGTCGACTTTGATTACGCTGATAAGCTGGTCGATAACGCATTTAAAGCGAATAAAGCGACATTAAAGGAGACGAATAAAGCGACGTTAAAGGAGACGAATAAAGCGACGTTAAAGGAAACGAATAAATCGACGTTGAAGGAGACGAATAGAGTGACATTAAAGAAAGCGAATAAAATGGAACCCGCTTTGATAGAACAGTCATTAGCGAGACCGCCTTTAAAGCTCACGTTGCCGAAACCGATCATGTGTCCCGTAGTTAAAACGCCCGCGGCAGCGAAACCCGCCAACAGTAATAAGCGACAATTATCGAAGCCGGGAAAACAGAGCCATACCGTGATTAGAATTAAACTTGGCAACAACGAGGTTGTCAGAAGTACAAATGACAATATAAATGTTTATGGTAGTAATATTGTGACCGGTCATTCCTTCGAGACAACGAAGGAGCCGTTGTCGTGGAATCAGACGTCGTCCGTGTACGATTTTCACGACGGTAGCAACGAGAGTGACTACGGTCTCGTAATAGACGAATCGCAGAAGCGGAAACGGGCACCGAGACCGAAACGACCCAAGCGCGATTACGACGGTGATGTCGACGTACTGAATAACGCGCCGAAAAACGGTATTGAGGAATTGTTGAAAGCATCGGCATACACTCTTGGGAATGGTGCTCCAAGAGTCGATGTGACGTACGTATAAATTCAGGTCCTTATCATCAATATTAAATTACGATTATGGTTGTAACGAAAAATAATTTCAGGCCATCGACTACGATTCTACAGTACAGTCATCCCATGCCGCCGCCTACTGGGTAAGTTAATTTGCCATGGAACTCTCCGATCTTCGTGTTTTAGATCTTGTAAATGTCACGCATCTCGAAACTTTCCTAATTAATCTCACTCTGAGGCTGTAGTGGTTAATAAACATTTCTATGAACTTTTAACTAGCTAATTGCTATAACTTACCTATTGTACTTTACAAACTTCTCTAAATTTATTTTCATTTGGATAGAATAGAATTTGGATGGGATAGAATTAATATAGAGTGAATGCAGGTATATGGTTCTTCCTCGAGCATGTGAAAGGTCTTTAATTATTTTTTTAAACGCTTATTAAAAGAGTTTTGTAGCTTTAAGCAGTACAGAGGAATGAATTTAATTTTTTGGTGTCTTAGTATTTATAAATTGAAAACGGTCAGTTCTGACAGGGCGTCACCATCCACACGGGAGGCGATCGCCGGGATGTTGTCGTTCAGTCAGCAGAGTTACTCTACAACGAGTGGTTCTACGAAATCGTCAAAGAAACCTACTAAGAGCCAACAAAATGTTGACGAAGACGATGATCAGTTGATAGAAAATATCGACAAGGTCCACCAAGACGATGATTTTAGTACGTATATGATAAAAAAGTATCTTATATCAATATTTTTTTGCGATACCATTATTAAATTTATATTATTCACAGTTTATCCAGCTTTAGACGCTTCTGACGACGAAGATTATATCTTTAAACCTAAGGCAAAGAGTCAAATCGATGAAGCATGGAATCCAAAAGCTAGAGTGGGCCCTCTTTTACCAAAGACCAATCGACCGGCACGGGAAGGCGTGAAGAAAACGTCTGTGGAAAAGGGTCTTGAAGCGGCCGCGGCGAAGCGAGCGAAACAATCGGTAAGAAAATTATATCGTTTAATAGGATTTTACTTTATTTTGCATATAATCATATATTTCACAAAATGCAAATAAATAACGTATCAAAGCTTCCTAATTATTAATTATCCTGATACTAATCTAGTATATAGTTAAATGCGTATCCAGTGTTTATACGAAATAATCTGAGGTGTAATATGTTTTCATATCATTATTTGTCATTTAATTAACATTATATCAGTCACAACTTTTTTTAAATACCATATAATTCCGTGTTTCTTGCATATACATTTCACATAGGATGAATACCTGGATAACGACATGGACAAGGTTACCAAGAAGAAATTGGTAGGCATATTTCGATCTCGGCAATTTCATATAAAATTCTGTAGTGCTATACTTTTCTATAGCTTTCCAATTGTACATATATTATAATTGCAATTCTGCTCTTAATTACAGTCCTTGATTTTGCAATCTATGTCCTTTTTAATTTTAGTTATCTCATTTTTTAATATTAGCCTCCACTTTCTTTTTAGTGCACATCTGTAGTGATCGCTAGCTATAATTTGTCACCATTAATCTATGGATTGGATCATCAGAAATATAATATTTAAATATCTCTGTTCTGGTGATGCACTTTGTATTTTTTCCTGTATTCATTATTTTTTTATTTTTGTTACGAAAAAAGCTAACAATGATGGAAATTTATATTTTGTGCGCGTAATAGGGTACCAACAAACGGACATATAAAAAGAAGCAAAAGGATCCTGTGGTCTCTGTGGTCCCTGTGGTCCCCGCGGTAGGAACCACATCGTCTACCGCAGCTTCTGAAAATGTTATAAAATCGCCCTCCGGATTCGGATCAATACTGACAAGCCCCAACAGACTTAAAGATGTTAAAGCCAAACTTGCAGCACCCGTTCCAGTTGGTAAAGTATCAATTTTTATTACCTATTTCCGTTTTTTACTTAAAGATTTGTGTTATGCGTTACAACTTATAGTCGATGAATAATCGTGAAGAAAATTGAATATTCATAAATTTTCAGAACGAAAACCGAAGAAGGGAATGAAAACGGCGAAGCAGCGTTTGGGGAAGATTCTGAAACTGCATAAAATGATGCACTAGATAAAATTAATACCATGAAAGGAGAAAAAAACATCACGTCATTCTTCACTTGTGTATAAAATCATATAGTTGTACATTACTATGTAAATATAAGAAATTTTCCATCAAGGTGATACACACCTTAAAAAAGTGAATTAGTTGTAAATCAGCGTCATTTTCTAAGAGATACTTATATTTATTACTACATCGTGTTTAATTTTAGGCGAATATATATATATATATGACTTTTGATATCTCGATATTTCAGTAAGACGATATTTGTATTGTAACGGTAGATTGGTAATGCTTTATGTGATGACCTCGTGTAGTAATTCTGGTAATTCAGTTGACAACGATCTGAAAGGAAAATTATGTCTCAACTTATAGGTTTTTTTCATTATTTTAGTAATGAAAATTTTAATAATGCGATTTAATTTGTTACTAACAGTAGATCAACCAATTTAATGATGGTTTAGTTTTAAGGTAATAGATGTTTTTTTAGTGAGTAGCAAGTAAATACTTCACCGTCCATTATCAAGAACTTAGAGAATTTTTCTATGTGTTACATATTTTTGCATTTTTTAGAATGCACAATTAGCATGGCACAGTTCTCTGCTGCATCTTTTCTAATCCCAATTGTAATATAGTTCTTCATTTTGATATACTATGGTATTTTTCTTGCATGCGATAAATGCAGTGGTAGTTCAATTAATTCCCAAAATATTAACTGAAAACTATCTCCGTATTTAAAATGACAATTGTCACATGCTTCTTTTTAAATGGTATATAAATCAGGTATTAATTGAAAGTTTTTCTTTGCTTTCGTGAAAACACGTAAAAAAAATTCAATCATTGTTATCACAGAAATATATTTGTAACATTCATAGTATAATTTCTTACGCTAATTTACTAATTTGTTTGATGTCACATGTAGCAGTTCAGTTAGCCATCTAGTTTGTACATACATCACAGAGAGAGGCTGTAGAATATTGATTTAATTTTTTACATACTTGTTATAAAAATTAAAAAAAAAATAAGGTATCTGCCAGCGACATTTTATATGTAACTTACAGGTAATGCGGTAAAATGTATTTTGATCGTTATGGAGTACACTAAGTAAAGTAGCGTAAGGGATATTATCGATTGTTGTATCGCACAGGAAATTGAGTTACCTAATACACATGTTGTACCTGTTTCCTATGATACAAAATGTGAGATACACGTAAACGCGTAAAATACTGGAAGAGCTATAGTCCCCTACAAGAGAATTGTTTGTAATCGTGGATTGCTTCTACTTAATAAGTTAGACTCTCAGAATTGTTTGATAGCGTTCGGGAATACTGACAACTTCGTTTGAAGGAAGTCTCGAGAAAAGGTGTTTTCTACTTAATAACTTACGCGTGTACATTAAAATTAACCCCGAAATTAGAAGATCGTTTACGAGCTTTTAATGTTCGAAAGTAGAGAGATTTACTTTAGGCTCGAGTAATGTTAATCATTAATTATAACATTAAGTAACATTAATGATTAGAATTTTTACTTACGATTTAATTTCTACTAACAAATTGTGATAAGTATTACAATTTATATTTATCTCATTGTTATTAGCACTGCGCAATTTATAAGTTGCTTAAACGTGTGGCAAGCAAATTACTTGAGACCTGTAACGTTTGACGTGTATCAAATTCTTAACGTTGGTGCATCAGTTAAATTTTCACACGACTCTTGCACATCGAATACGCATGGATAACATAAGATCTATATAATAGAGATTACATTTCTTTGTAATAACTTTGTACAAAGAAGTGACGTGTCTGTTAGTATAAATTATTTCTTTTAGCACTCACTATATCGACAGTGTATATTAAAGGAAAACTAAGGAAATGCATTGTATAGTAAGGTACTAAACGAATCATTTTATACTAAAACACGTCGCTTTTTTGTATAAAATTATTACAGGAAAGGTGAAGGCGAATACTTTGCTCGGATAGACACTTACAAGAATAAAAAGACATTCGTATGTCTTCTTAAAACTACACGTTTTGATAAGTGATTCGCTTAAAAATTGTGTTAAAAGTAACGTTGCTTCGTCCCGCGTAACAAATTCAAGCTACACGATCGCTTTTATAATTTAGCGTATTTGTTCGTAAGCATCTGTGTACGCACCGTGTACACGAATCTTGCAGAATTATACAAAATGATATAGATGTACGTGCATAGATACACATATACATATATTTTTTTATGAAGTGTTTATCTTGAATTTTGCGAGTCGTGTATTTATTTAATATCTCTGCTCGTCTTTATTAAATTTAACGACGTGCCGGCGATAGCGCCGTATGTTTCTACAATACTTAAATTTCTATCGCGTATCGTTAAACGCGCGCGGTAGAAATCTCGTGACGAAATTAACGCGATTTGCGAGATGGATTTGCAGATTTTCGACGAGGTATCGGCATATTTCAAATGTGTTCATTAAATTATAGACGATAACGTGCAGACTTTCGGTGTTTGACGAGAGAGAATACATTATTACGAAATTAAAACGTTAAATATCAGGGAAGCAATATTTATTTTCAGAATACGAGCTCTCTTTTATCACGTCGCTTCTAAAAGTGCAACACTCTCGCATATAATGTTATTGTAACAATAATATATTCGAGATATAAGTATTCTAAGATTTCGCACAATTTTACGCGATTTATGTCCATTGCTGTCAATGCGGATCAACTTTAATCTCGGTTTAACTCACTTTTTATCTGTTTGCAATTTTTAGAACTAGAGAAAGATAAAAACAATAATAAGGTTAACCGAGATTAAAGTTAACCCGCGCCGGAAATGGACGTTAGCCGTTCTAAAGAAGATTTTTAAATGCTTTTTCTAATTCGAATAAAAATTCGTTCTCTCGTTGATAAGAACGCGTCGGTGCTCCCACGAGCACGATGTATTTATTGTCCGTGAAAAGTAAATGTACATATATTTTAGAAGATCTTGCCGGCTAGGGTGCGAATTAATCGTCTAATCGAAGCGCAGCGTCCCTTCACCTTATCAATACGGCAATACTTGAAATTTCGTCCTCACAACTTTTCACGACTCTTTGAAATTGATCGAATCTTCGACAATTCGCGTTTGTTTGAAAGAGCTAAGACTTGTAAAGATACGAGATGTATTATAAGCGGATTACATACAAATATTACGTCGTACGAAGTATAGCCGAACGATTTTTCATCGTGTTCGTAATTATTGCTGAATAAAATGTTGGATTCATTGATTGCGATTCCTTGTACCTCTCAGCCTCTTTCTTTTTGCACAATGTATAAAAACGTATTCCCCTTAGGTATACATATTAGGTAATTATAGTATAGACAATGATCTAATGATTCCGTATTTATTTCTCCACTATATATTTATTTTTTTATTATTATTGTATTCCAACATTTTGTTCAAAATGATATTATTATTCAAATTCCGAGCGAAGTTCGAATCCGTCATTAGCCAATCGCACATATTGGAACACAATGGAACACGTTTCCGAATCGGCCAATGATATTCCGTAGAGATGCGTTTTCAAATTTGTATCGCGTCTAATTATAACTCTCTATCACTCGACATAAAATTTCAGTAGGCTTTTTCGAAACAAAAAAGCAATCGTCGATGTATCGAACAAAATAGTAATGCTCATATATAATTCATATCATTCTTCCGTACATTAATTCGATCTATTCAAAAAAGGAGAAAAATTTCAAATCAATCTCCAGCGTGTTTTTCACCCCGGAATATCTCTCAACATCCGACGTTTCGTCTTCGCGGAAACGATGGTCTCACGAGAAGGTACAGAAAAGAGATTGCGCGCCGTAAACAAGCAAGGGCTAATAGCCGTATTCATAGTCCTTCGTTGAAGTAAGGATTCCTCGTTCCTCATTCTACGCTTCATAAATTTTAAGGTTTCTTGATCGATCAAGGAAGGTTAATGAAATGTAGAATAATAAGGGACAAGGAATCCTTATTCCTCAAGGAAGGACTATGAATACGGCTATAAGACGCCTATAGGACATCCCTTGAGGCGCGCCGCGCTTCCGCGCCCGGCCTCGCGGCGCGGCGCGGCGCGTCTTCGTATTTGCGCGGCAATCGGAGCGCAACGGCGCGTTAAGGCGCGCTCAGTTCAGTCTGCAGCCGTCCGCCGCGCGGTATAGATCGTCCGTCGCGCTCCGAGCGTGCAACGAGTGCGTGGCACCCAGTGGCACCCCGCCGCCGCCGCCGTGCGTGTGCGTCAGTCCGTCCGTCCACCCCATCCATCCACGGATCCACGCCGACGTGGTGCTCGTGTCGTTCGACCGACAATCTCGCCCCTCGCGCTCGTTGCCGCTGGCTGGCTGACTCCGGCTCCGGTTTGTCGTCGCTCTTCTCGCGGACGGTTCTTCGTCGTCGAGCGGACCCGCGCGCGCACGCTCCGTCTTCGTACCGTCGCGAACGAATCGCGGGCGAATCGATAGCGCGAAACGCGATCCGTCTGGCGTGGTGGAGTGTCTCTCTCCGTGTCTGCCGGCCCGTACGACGTGCGTAACGCAAGTGTTTTCCCGACCCCCCGGGTCGCGGCCCTTTTTTCGGCAACGTGGACGTGGCACGCATTCGTGGACGCCATAGCGTGAGCTTGACGTTTTCGAGGTACGTATATATATATATGTTCGTGTATGTAACATTTGCGCGCTTGTTGAACGAGCTGCAATTTCGCACGGAGGAAATGAGAGCGAGAGAGTGAGGAGAGAGAGGGAGGGAGAGCGGACATGATCGGCGCGAGCACGCGCGCGAGTTCAAATTCCGCGTAACGTTCGCGAGCGTGTCAGTCTGAAGTTGGAGCGGATCGCCCGCGCCGACCCACGAAGCGGGAGGTGCGAGTGAGACGAACGTGGCCGCGAATCGCGCGGACGAAGACGGATTCAATTCCGATACGCGACGGCGCTCGCCCTTCCGTTGCGATTGACACGTGTTTTCTCTTTTTCCTCAGCTCGCGTAGCTTTCTTACGGCGCGGCGCCGTTCCCGTGGTTTAACACGCAGAGAGAACACGAGTTACGTTTTCGTTGAAATCTCCGTTTCGAGCAACTCCGCGGTTGAATCATTTTTTTTTTTTGTTGCTCCTATCGGGTCAGGAGCGTAGACGCCTTCAGTCCTGCCTTTGGACTATGTGACGCCCGCGGTTGAATCAACCGCCGATTAGGTTATTCGAGGTCGTCAATGGCGTCTCTCGCCTTGGAGTTTCTAGAGCGCCGCGCCGCGCTTCCTCCCGCTCCCGCTCCTTTCACACGTTTTGCATTCGAGACAAAAGGAAGCACGTCTGGAGAGGTCGAGTGGCGATGGGGAGGGGGAAGGAAAGAAGAAAGGTTGAATGGAAACCTTGCGTTTTTCGGGGGTAATGCAAAACGTCGCAAATATCTAGGCCTCGCACCGGCCAATCTCCGCCCAATCGATAGAGCACGCGACGGTCGTGGCCGCACTTTCTGCCGCATTACGATATATATTTTCACGTGTCCGTATAACGGTATAATTGTCGCCGCGAGGGAGTCCAAGTTGGCCGGAAAAGCGAGAGCTCCCCGCGTCCGCGCGCGTCTCCAGCTCGACGACGCGGCGTCATCGAATGCCGGAGTATACTTAACAATAGCCGATCACGGAAATACGCGGCGTTCGTTTTAATCCGACAAGCGAGAACGCGAACGCGCGATGAATTCCAGCCAGGGTGTTGCTCGTGACAAATTTTTAATTTGAAAATATCTTTTAGTTTCAACGTGAAAATTTTGAAACGAGATTATATTGCGTTAAACTTGCTTGAAGAAAACTTTTTATTTCAACATTTTTTTCTTGACTGGTTGAACTATATAATATAATGACTTCATTCGATCAAGTTTTCTTCGTTCAACGCAATATAATCTCGTTTCAAGATTTCCACGTTTAAATTAAAGATATTTTCAAATCAAGAATATTCTTTTTCTCTGTGTAGAAAATTTCTGGCAAACGAATGAAATATAGATATATGTAATATTTATTTGATCCTTGCCTCGCGGCTCTGGATGGACTGCAATACAACGTTTTATATTGTCCTCTTTTGCATTTTACCCAACTGCAACTTATTTTACATTTGTGTTTACTTTTACGTTACAATTACGTTACAATTACACACACTTTTTTACTTTAATATTATATACTATCTTTTTAAGTATTTTACTGTTTATCTTATATTTATTTGTATAAACTTATCGAACTTATCAAATTTCAAGTTCCCAAAATTTTTGACTTAACTCTTATCTTTATGATTTCCTAGCTTCTCCCGATTGTCCTATACATATCTGATATGTGTATTCTCTTCCTGCTATTCAGTCTCTATCCTCATTTCTTCGTAAACTTTGTTTTCTTCTTCCCTTTCTTCCTCTTTCCTCATTCTTTCTGTGGAATATAGTACCTTTATAAATAATTTGAAAGGAGTATGGAAGGAGTATATGTATATAGATTCTACTTCATCTTAAAGTTCGAAAGAAAATTTATGTCAACGGGCACAACGGGTTGGAAATGAAAAGAAGAACAGGTCGAGGAAATATTGAGGATTGGATTTATTAATTCTTTTTTTTTCTCGCGCAAGTTTGCAAATGACAACAGCATCAATCTTGAAGTTGAGTAAAGCTTAATGATCTTCACGACAGAAGCCGAGGAATGATCCTCTTAGTAGAGTAAAGCTTAATGATAAGCTTTCTAATAAGCTCATTGTAACTGAGCCTTGCAACGGGATCGACAAGTTCCACGAATAGCAATATCTCAAGATTAAACGACTTCTCAATCCCGTTCTGTCGCCTGAAATCTAATTGCGCAAAAATCTGTGCCAGGAGAGTTACATTTCCTTGCGAACTTTTTGCGTTTCTCCCTCGTCTTTCCCGTCTTTTAGATTTCCTCGCGCATCGTAGATCGTTGGCGAAATTTTCACATCGCGCTTGTTAATCCGACCGATAAAGACCGTTGCTCCCGACTTGAATGATAAGATGAGTCTCGCGGCGAGACCCTGGCAAATGAGTCACGCGAATCACTGACAACGCGGATTGCTCTTCCCGGTCGAATGAATTTGCTAATCACATGCGCGGCGTAAAAGTTGGGCCGAAGGTCGGGAGCGTATCAAGAGTATATGTGCGTGTCGCAGTTCCGACTTATCACGCCCGGCTAGGTGCAATACATACAAATTATCGCGTGACGCATTCGATCGGCGTTCGAATCAAAGAGAAAAAGAGATGTCGTCGGCACGAATTTATTTTTACGCGAGCACGTTGAAAATTGACACGGAACACTCTCGTTTCACTTCATTTGATTTTCGATCCATTTGTCCCTTCGAGCGAAATGTCTCTCGTGATCAGATAAGGTGTAAACCGAATCGATTAGATAAACACGCGACTCGGTATATTTGCGATATGAAGATTAAAACTCTTCACAAATGTCACACTGATCGTCCATCTTTGTTCATTTTATCCATGTTATATTTTTTTTTAATTTCAAGTGGGGATTAGCAGCATTCTTGCTAATTCCTTATTTTTTTGCGTATAAATATATCTTTATCTTTCGTGCATATTATACGATTATCTATCGTTATTGCTAATTGTGTATGTGTACAATAAATTATTATTATTATTAATTTTATTAATTATTAATTATTATCTTTTGCAGTGATGCTGGTTGTTTGGCAAGGAGCTCGCCGTTGCCTGAGTTGCAGCGGGCAGCGCACTAATCAAGGCCATCAATTCCACCAAAAGCACCATCATCGCGAGCCGATCAGCGAGAAGCTCGACCGGTACCATCTCGTTAGATCCAGGTAAATGATCCGGTTATTACCGAGCGCTGTTTGTCATTTGATCATTATTTTTCGTTACGTAGTCAGCGTTATCTGTTATTCTCTCCGTAAACACTCGATGAGCACAAAAATTGTGCAATAGAGCCTCGAGCGATCTAAACAATACTTTACGCAGGCTCCTCCAATATTATACGTATAGACCGTGATCAAGATACACGGTAGCCTAAAAATGAACAAATTCCATTTTGTTGTTACATAATGTATATAATGTATACGATTATAAAAGAAACCTTTTTAAACATTAACAATAAAATTGCACGTACGTCCGCACATAAATTGTAAGTTTATATTGGCTTCGGTTTGAAATTCTAAAAGCACTTTCGTTCGTATAAAAAGTTAATTAATACATGAAACAATATATGCAAAGCTACCTATATTTTATCGAAATGTAATTAGGGTGGGACAA